TTCTGAAGAAGGGTCTAGGCCCGAAACGTCAGCCTTCCTGCTCCTTTGATGCTGCTTGGCCTGCTGTGTTCATCTAGCTCTACACCTTGTTATCTCAAATTCTCCAGCATCTGCAGTTCCTACTATCCCTGAACACTATGGGCAATTTAGCATAGCCAATCCACCCTAACCTGCACATGTTTGGACTGTGGAAGGAAACTGGAGCACCCAGAGGAAATCCACGCAGACACGGGTAGAATGTGCAAACTCCACACTGACAGTTGCCTGAGGGTGGAATCAAACCAGGTCCCTGGTGCTGTAAGGCAGCAACGCTAACCACTGAGCCACCATACCACCCATATGTGGAAAGAAACGGGGTAATCCAGAATGCAGGTGCCAATCTCAGGGTTCTGCTCCTCGTGGCTCCATGTTCCACTCACTAATGTTTGCTACTTATCTCTCTCCCACAGTTCCACAGCCGAATAAGGAAAGCCCAAGGTGGACAATTTACATCCCAGGTAACCGGGGACATGGAACACGATGTGACTCCAACGTTGGGGCAACAGTTTGCACAGTGTAAGGCTTCCCAAAGTGGGGGCAGGTCCTGAAGTGGGATTAAGAGCTGAGGATTTCAGTTTGTGAGCTCTGAGACAGGTGTCAATCTCCAGGCCTTGAAATGGGGGTCACAGTGGGAAAAGGTTTGGAGAATACTGGTTTCAGCCAATAGGTCTGCTACATTTCTATATTGTTCATAAAGAGCAAGGAACTAATTGTAACATGAAAGTACATCTGGCTGTCACATTAAGTATTCTCAGAGGCCAGACAACAACAAACAGTCACTAGACTGATTCCTGAGATAGCAGAAGGGATGGATGAAGAGATACTGGATCAGTGAGGGCTACATTCAATGGAGTTTAGACAAATTAGGGGAAGGGGTGGGACAGAAGTGCTAGAAATCTATAAAATTCTATCAGGGCTAGACAAGGTAAATGCAAGAAGGATGTTCCCAATGACCAGGGAGTACACTGCTACAGCTCACAGCCTAAAGGTATGGGATAGATTGAGATGAGGAGAAATGTCTTCACCCAGAGAGTGGGGACCCTGTGGAACTCTCTGCTACAGAAAGCAGTTGAGGTCAAAACATTGAATGTTTTTAAGAAGGAGTTAGATACAGTTCTTAGGGCCAAAGGGATCAAAAGGTATTGGGGGGAGTGGAAAGCGGAAAAGGAAACTGAGTTAAATCAGCCATGGTCATATTGAATGGCACAGCAAGATCTAAGGGCTGAATGGCGAACTCCAGATCCCATTTTCTATCTTTTGATATATCAGTCAATTGTTCCCATGGAGAGCTGAAAGAAATACACTCAGTGAAGCTCAAGCATGAGATAATTCTGAGCTTCTGGGGACAGAAGGGCCCATCTCCTGCTTGTATGGGAAGGCCCTTGACAACTAGAAGTAAAGTGTGGAGCGATTTGGGTCTAGTGACACCCCCAGGCAGTTTGAGCATATTTCACACACCACATCGATCCTATAACCCAACAGCGTCCAGACCTCAAATGTCCTTCCTTGACTGTAAAGAGCTTTGACACATCGGGAAGCTGTATTTAAGTGCAGGTTTCTCAGCAACAAGAAGCAAACCAAGCATCTAGACCAGGGACCTCATAATTGTGCTTGTACTTTTCCCCAACTGAGGGGCAAGACGATTTCCCACCAACTCAGGTCTCCTGGCACAAGTTATGATACCGATTGGTGTGAAGGAACTGGATCTATCTGCTTATTCAACACCCTGTAGAATTATAGAATCCCTACAGTGTATTCAGCCCATCAAGTCCACACTGAACCCCCGAAGAGTATCCTACCCAGATCCACCCCCCCCCACCCTATCCCTGTATTTCCCATGGCCCACCACCTAACCTGCACATCTTTGGACTGTGGGAGGAAACCGGAGCACCTGGAGGAAACCCACGCAGACACGGGGAGAATGTGCAAACTCCACACAGTCACCAGGGACTGGAATTGAACCTGGATTCCCGGCACTGTGAGGCAGCAGTGCTAGCCACTGAGCCACCGTGCACATCGGTAAATTGACACTTTGTTTGTATTTTGTTAAGGCAAAGTGCTTGAAGTTTAAGTTTTTAAACTTGAACAAACTTGTCAAGATTTGTTTTTGCTTGCGACTTAACGTATTGCTTTTAATTGCAAAGAGGAATCTTCACCTTGGATGCACTGACTGGCTAAGTTGGGGCCAAGGGCCCTTGACTGTTCATATCTCACTGGGTACCTGCCTTCCCCCTTCACTATCTGTGAGTGGCTGAGTGACAGCTTGCAGTCCATTTGGGGAGCATGACTATCAGACAAGTCTGTGCTTGATGCAACTCAGTGCCCACACAATCATTTTGCCTGTATCATCATTGCCAGAAACTCAGCAGTGAGAACAGCAGCAAGTCAAAGAATTCATTTTGAATGTTTTTTCTTTAAATCAATTGATTAAAATCCTGGCCTTACGACATTCACACAGCCCATGTCCAACACTTGCCCGCCCCAGTCCTGACCCCCTCACTACCCTGTTCCATTGCCCATTACTGTTCACAGACGATCATGGGGACTAGAGAGGGCAGCAGACCCAAATGACTAGCATGGTGACCACGGAAGTGGGCAGAATAATGACAAAGGCAGTGGGCAATATAGTGGCCAGTATGATGACCAGAGCAGTAGGCAATATGGTGACCAGGACAGTAGGCAATATAGTGACCGGGGCAATGGACAGTGTGGTGACCAGGGCAACTGGTGGTATGGTGACCAGGACAGTGGGCAGCATGGTGACCGGTGCAGCGGGTAGCATGGTGACCAGGGCAGTGGACAGTGTGGTGACTAGGGCAGTGAGCAATACAGTGACCGGGGCAGCAGGTAGCGTGGTGACTGGGATAGTGAGCAGTACAGTGACCAGGGCAGCGGGTAGCGTGGTGGCTGGGGTAGTGAGCAGTACAGTGACCAGGGCAGCGGGTAGCGTGGTGACTGGGGCAGCGAGCAGTACAGTGACCGGGGCAGCGGGTAGTGTGGTGACTGGGGCAGCGGGTAGTGTGGTGACCAGGGCAGTGATATGCACGGTGACTGGACTCTTCAATCTACCTTACAAAATCCAAATGTCTCGTGGTTATCACATTGCTGTTTGTGGAAGCTTGCTCTGTATAGCTTGTCTGCCAAATTCCAACATTACAACAGTAACTATGTTTCACTGGGCTCAGTTGACTGGATGGCTGGTTTACAATGCAAAGTGATTCCAGCCACCCATGGACCATATACTTGTGGACACATTTTTCCAAGTGAGGGGAGAAAGGATTTCCCACCATCTTGGATTTGCTGGCACAAGTCACAGAACCAACTGGTGTGAAGGAAGATCTATGTGCCCATTTAACACCCTGTACACATCAATAGACTGATATTTTATTTGTACTTTATTAACACGTGAAGTTTAAGTTATTCAACTTGAACAAACTTGTCAAGATTGAGCTGATTTCTTTTTGTTTGTGACTTAACATGATGTTGTTAATTGCAAAGAGGAATCTTCACCTTGGATGCACTAACTGACTAAGTTGGGGCGAAGGGCCCTTGACTGTTTGTATCTCATTGGGTACCTGCCTTCCCCCTTCACTAACTGTGTGAGTGGCTGAGTTGTCACTCACCCTCATCCCTTGCCTAAGGCACAGCGACCTTCCCGTTAAACTCACCGCTCTTTCTAATGACAGAGTGGCTCTCTAGGACTATGGTGACTTTACCTTACACTTCAGAAGTGTACATCAAATGACAGTACAGCCCCTTTGGATATCATGTGGTAAATCAATGGAAAATTTCCTTTCATTTTTTAAAAAAAAATTTCCTTTTTCTAATCTCATTACAGTGATGCGAGATGTACAATTTATATATATTTTAGTGTCACTTAGTTTAGAGTTTGGATTTGAGCTCGTGGTATGAGTGTTTTGGACTGTATCTGAACAAGTTTAATGATTAGTTTGTAAGTAATTCTGTAGCCATGGTAAGTTATTTTAAAAACAATATGAAAGAGAGAATTCCTGGTTGGCAATGAGGTTTTGTTAACACTGCAAGTATATATGAACAAAGTAAACATTAGGCTTTAGAAGGTTGTGGAATCTTTTCATGCTTAGGGGAAGCACCTAGAAAAAACCTTTTGGGTTTCTGTTTGGATTTGAAGAAATCTTGGCTGAAGTTGACAGTGTAAACCATTTGCTCCTGAGATAGGGAGGTAGTTTAGAACGGTTAACGAATATATTACTTCTGCGTACAAAGTTTAGTTTTAAGGTTCCAGACCAGAAGTGTTTGTTAAAATTTTAAAGGTGTTATGTGAAGTGGAAAAAGTCTGAGCTTGCTTGTATGAAGGCTCAAGGAGCAGGCGATCAGATTCTCAAAACTGGGGAATTGAGGCCACAACTAAGATTTTCTGAAGAAGGGTCCCGACCCGAAACGTCAGCTTTCCTTCTCCTCTGATGCTGCCTGGCCTGCTGTGTTCCTCCAGTTCCACACTGTGTTATCTCTGACTCCAACATTGGCAGTTCTTACCATCTCGAATTAAGTCAGACTGTTTGTGTGATAGAGAAGGGAACTCTCAGTTTGATTACTGTGAAGGAGTGCCATTGGCATTAATGGGACTGTAATTTGCCATATGTTTCAAAATCTTTAAATGTGAGTTACATGTGAATAGTTCGTTTTATTTTATCTTGATTTCTTTTTCCAAAATACAAAGGGAAAGTGGAGAAACTCAGCAAGTCTGGCAACATCTGTGGAGACAGAAATAGAGTTAACGTTTTGAGTCTAATATGACTCTTCTTCCAAACTCCCTTACATTATTCCAAATCCCTTCATTCTCATTTTGAAATCAGCCTCACGCTGTTGTAAACTCTTTTATATCATGGAATCATACAGTACAGAAGAGGCACTTCAGCCCATTGAGTCTGTATCACTAAAATTACACCAAATCTATACTAGTACCACTTTCCAGTGCTAGGCCCATGGCCTGTTATAACATTTCAAGTGTTCATCCAAATAACATTTTAAAGTTTGTGACATTACCTGCCTCAACAAGCCTACCATGCAGGGCATTCCAGGTCCCTACCACCCTCTGGATAAAAAATCTTTTCCTCAAATCCCCACTAAATCTCCAGTGAGCAGCCATTGGCTTCACTAATGTCCTTTAGGGAGGGGAATCTGCCATCCTTACTCGGTCTGGCCTACATGTCACTCCAGACCCACAGCGATGTTGTTGAATCTTAACGGCCCTCTGAAATGGCTCTAGCAAGTCCCTCAGTTCAAGGACAATTAGGACGGACAACAAATGCTGGTCTTGCCATTTGCTGCCCAGATTCCAGAAAAGAATAAGGAATTCAATCAAATCCCTCTTGGGCCAACTTCCCAGCAAAATCTGTTAATTCAACCAAATACTTTATTCCTTTATTTTTCTGGTTTGTACTAAGAAGGACTTTAATGTCAATGATTACCTTATTTA